TACCCGGGCTTAGGACCGGCTAGTAACTAGTGAACTAGTTAACCAGGTTAGGTTATGAAGGATTGATTGAAGTGATAAATCAATTCAGTATTATATAATAAGATTCGAAAATTTGGTCAAGATAAAATCAATGTTTTCTGTAAAAGTATAAGACAATTAAGTAAAATAACACCGGAAACTAACCAAACTGAAGGTAATTATAATAACAGTAATAGTGATAATTGAAGGATACAAGGTTAAATTAACAAAGGGGGAGGGGATACTAATGGGGATGGGATCATGTTACAGTTATGATAAAAACAGTAACTGTACATACTTCTCTTGTACACACGCAGATCAGGTTTTAGTTCATGGATAGCTAAAACCTCCAATATTTTAAGGAGTTGAAAACGAGGAAAACGTAGGTTGTTTGAACGAATTTGGTAAACAGTTTTAAAGTCATTGTCTGGGTTGATCGAGTGGTGGAAATCAATCAAATGTTCTAGGATCGAACTTCTAACAGACTTTTTTTCACCTTTATAAAACCAAGCAGGAACATTTTCTTGTGTACGTGTAGAAGGCTACGGCTGATGTACCTTGTTGTATAAAAGCGGATGAACTTGTAGATTCACAAAGAGGCGGCCAAACGACAAAGCTTATCTTTTTTCACAAATGAAGAATAGTTTAAAGCTGGTAAAAGTTGACTGAATTTATACTGAGAAGAAAGTTCTATTGATTAATTTGCATAGACGATTATTGAGTAATCTGATACTCGGTCATTTTTCAATTGTAGGTTGATGAACCATGTTTCCTTTGAAATCGAGTGGATGACTGGTTTAGTATGTCTTTCTCTCATATTTTTATCAATGAAATGTTACGGTGACGATTTTCGACGAGTGTAATTTTTAAAAATGATAGCTCTTCATCAATACAATCTTCACTACAGTTATTTCTTAGTCAATAGTAGAGAGAGAGAGAGGATTCTTTTCTCATCGACATGCACCCAACTGTAAAAATTAGTTAGTTGTCCGTTCCATACTGCTTTTCTGTAGATAGTTCTTCTAAGGAATTCATTGTTATATCTGATGAGAAGCACATCAAGAAAAGGAATAGTTTATTTTGATTCCTTCGCTATGGTGAACTTCAGGGCTGAATGACAGTCATTGTAGGAACGAATAACATTGGCGAAATCAACATCTTTATTACAGGTAACAAACGTGTTGTCTATACATCTTTGATAAAAATTGAAGCGACTTATAGTTCGACATGAGGAAATCTGCTAATAATGATAATCTACAAATTCTACCCAAGAGAACTGCAATAACCACTTGTAAATTGACATTATATGTTAATTAAGTATCATCACGTTTCATCATTCACCTCACTTGGTATCTCTCAACTTAGTCATAGTGCCGTATTTTCTCCTTCTTTTTTGCATGACTTACCAAACTCAACTAAAGCTAACTGTGTTAAGTACACAGATGACCTGACAGTATCCATGCCTATCATCTCCTTTTCAGATTATTCTCAGGTTAATAACTTCTGAGACGAAATTGATTACTGATTCTCCTTAAATAACTGTACACTCAATCCTTCCAAATATTAAATGTTTAATTTTAACTTCAGAGGTGAAAAACACATTTGCACTCGACTCTTGTCTTGTAGATGACTCTATTAAAGAGAATGTAGCAAGGGTGTTCCATCTTGGCTTATGCTTTTCTTCTGATCTTACTTGCTTCCCTCATATCTTACTGATTTCCGGGTAAAATCCTTCGTAATTTTTATGTGTCATGATGACTGAAAATGGAATGAAATCCAGACTCAGGGTAGAGCTAGGGTAAGTAAATTTGAACATCATTAATGAATCCATCCTTAAAACTTTGCTGAACCGGTCGCTAGTGACAGAAATTGTTGAGAATCTAAGGTTATAACTTTACGTAAGCCATAACGATTCTAGTTTTGGAATATAATCGAGTGATTATTAGTAAAATGCATCGAAATTAGATTCCCCAAGGTTCTTCCGCGAAATCGTGACCGATAGGAAAATCGAATTCGATCGTGACGATGAATCGTTGGCGACTATGTTTGGTAGAAGCAGAAAAATGCGAAGCATGGGATTTCGATCCAGTGATTGGATGGCAACATACTTGCCAGGGAATCTGAATGTTCTCAGTTTGATCGCTGATGAATTCATGAGCACGCATTTCTGAGGAGCTCCACAATGAATATCATCCTGGAGCCACAATGAATTTGTCAATGCTACATTCTGAAGATAAGCTGACACTTTTAACTAGTTCAGTGTGCAAATACCAGTTGACTCACTGCTATGCAAAGATGTATGCAGTTACTTCGACAGAGTGTTTTGTCACCAAATTCACCACCATTTTGAGAACAAATTAACGAGTGATACTTCCCACCAATTTCATCTGTCTGAAAGAATACCATGGATTTACTCCTATTCCTTTAAGATTCTTACCTTCTCTGAAACCAAACTGAATCTAATGCAGATGCCAGAAGTTTCGACAGTTATTCACAGTTTGAAGTTGGCCATACAAAAGGGGAAGTTGTTTATCAAATCCTCAGCATAGAATCTATCATTAACTGTGGCTATCTAACAATCTTTAGGATCGATTATGGTTAGATTACATTGGCTTAGAAGTCTAAACTTGCTATTCGCAGTACAATCACTATGTTTTACGCCTGATTACTGATAAACAACGACACAGCATTAGCCTACATATTAACCTTTAAGTGATTAGGATACTATTAATGAGTGTAAAAGAGTAATAAGAATCGATTTCGTCTTGTGAATCCTAACCAGCCTCTTACAACCTAACCATCAGGAGGAATTCCCATATATGTATTCATTTGTTATTTAAATTACCAATGGAAACTTTCAGTAATAGGACCTCGGAATAATTTGAAGCATTTTCGACCAATTTACTTGTTGACCTGAGGTTTTAACTGGAAACGTTTCAGTGTCATTGTAGATGTCATTATTAGTTCATCAGTGCTTTATAGGGAAGTGTGGTGTATTAACTCTGCATAGCTAAGTGAGCAGATGGTAATATGATCGATACGATTCAGTCTGCACTCAGGACTAAAAAATATAAAGTTGATTATTCTCCCGTGATTAATCAGTGTGTGCAATTCAGTTCGAGAAGAGATCAATCGCGGTCCGGATATCTCAGTAAAACATAAGTTCCATCGAGCTGACGAGTTCCAATAAGAATGAAATCTAAGCTCAAACATTCTTGCAGACTGACTTAGATCAAGAGTTATGTTATTACTGACTTGAACCAAAAGCAGGTGAAAGGCGAAACATTAGAATCGGCTGAAGTATGCAACAAGTTAGAAGATTAAAGTGTTACCGATGATGATTTATGTCTAATGTCTTGTTCCACAAACTCGAAGATCTACAGGTGAAAACCAACAAGATGACAAAATGGGCGCGGCCGTGAAGGAAGACAGGACTTTCTACAGGTGAACGTAGAGAAGACAATAACAACACCAAAAACAACAAAAAGAACCATGATAAGAAGAAACCCAAAGAAAGTTGATTCTTTCACTAACCTACCTATCTACCTACCCGCCTTGGCAGCATTCTCTCAACTACAGGCGGTGGCACACATGAGGACGTTAGAGCCAGAATGGGAAAGACAGAAAGACAGGCCCGCCAACGTCAACCTGAAATCAGTGTGGAGATCTACTGAACTGCGCTTCACGCACTCAGTATAAAGCGTGAACAAAATGCGGATTTTCAACACTAATCTCAATCAAGTCAGTGCTTCTATGTGATGGCTGAGAGAGTTGGCGGTGCGTTACGGAAAGCATTTCCAACAAACTGCAGACACACATGATGAACAGCTGACATCTACGCTCACTCTGTACTGAAGATGTAGATAAGATGGCTAGAATAACAAGAAGAAGCAAGAAGAAATCCACTTTGGCTGTCTGGCTGGCAAGGAACCAGCCAGGAAGGTATCAGCCAACCAATATGCATGAGAAAGTGGAGATGGATTAGATTGTATTGGACATAGACTGAGGAGAAGACGGTTTGGGGACATGAGGTGTCAGGCCGAGCCAGGCCAGACTATTGAGTGGAAGTCAATTGTGAAATGAGGAGTTGGTTGTCCTAGGTGAGGGTGACATGGAGGAGGTTGTGTGAGGGCGAAATGAAAGGTTTTGGGCATTGGTGGAGCCAGGTTAAGAAGACTGTAGAGAAGGCAGTGGACTGGTGACGTGCTACTGCAGCGGTATGTTTCACTAGGAACCCAAAAGCCAAATAAAATAATGATGAGAATAACAACAACAATACTAATAGTGCAACAAGGGAAGTCACAGTGTAGGTGGAGAATACCATTTATACTTTGAGATATAGTAGTGACCTCGAGCTGAGGTAGATAAACCCTAACATTAAATGGTCGGTAGGCACGGGGGGTAGGTAGGTAGGCGAATAAATCAGCTCCTTTTTGATTTCTCATTGTTTTTGGTGTTGTTATTGTTGCTGGGTATCTTCATCCCCCTGTCTTCTCTACGTTCACCTGAAAGAAGTCCTGTCTTTCTTCACGGCCGCGCCTATTTCGTCATCTTGTTGGTTTTCGCCTGTAGATCTTTGAGTTTGTGGAACAAGACATTAGACATAAATCATCATCGGCGAAATCCAGATCTTCTATGTTGGTTTCATCGGTCCACACAGTTTATTGCACTATCCAGTCCACCACAGTCAGGAAAATCATCGGTGATAAGTCAACTGATATAAGTTTATTCATGACTCCTCTTTAATGCTGAGATCGCTTCTCAAGCATAGTTTATAAAATTTAGTCTTAAGTTGATTTTATGGGTAAAAATACTCGTATTATTTGCCTCACAATCAGTAAATTTTGCGCTGTTTTCCATTCACTGTTCTCCGTATTCAAACCGTATATAAGAAATAGACAAATCATCATGAGTATTTTAAAGCAGCTTGTTAATCAATTAAAACAAACACTTCATCATTGAATATCTTTCCCACATTTTAGACATCAATATCTTCGTGATCGAAATAAACTAAATTTGGAGGACAAATTTCAATTCCCTGTACTCACTTCAATGGAATATGGATGGGGTCATACTGATTTGATTAGTAAAATGCCTTCACATGCTAAAAAATTTGGACGTCAATGTGTAATTGAAGAGTCATTCTATCGACGTACCGGTATACCATTTAAACATGGCGCAGAAATGCTTGGATTAGATAAAAATTGTTTTTAAGTCTATCTGTAGTAAACTTCATGATCAGAACCTTTTTGAGCACTATTATTGTGTGACTTTTTTCTCCTAAAATCTCTTTGGTTTTATGTAATGGACTAAATTTGAAAACAAATAACCCATACATATCAAAACTGTAAATTTTATATCATTGTCATTATTACTATAACCTCTGACAAATTTGTAAGTAGTATGTGTAAACTTACTCACTTTTACATATATTAATTCATACTTTTTCATTAACTGCTTGTCAAATATTATCAAATATGCTAATTCATTTCTATCTTTGAAAGGACTTTTTAACCCGACTGGGAGAACATTATCTGACTGACTTTTTACTTGGTGTCAGTCAAATGGTACTTGGTATTCATCAGTAACTGATACCAGTTGAAGGAACATTGGGAACTTGGAAGCACTAGACATATGTTTCGTAACAGTTTGCGACTCCTTAGCACTGCATGCACATTACTTGCTAAGGATCATTGAAGACTAACTTTGAGAGGTGATTCTTGAAGTTCCAATGAGAAGTCCTGACCGGTGGATCATGCCTAGTTGACATGAGGACAAATACTCAACGACGACACTGAATGACGATCGCACTATGCATTAAAATGACAGAAGTATTAAATACGGACCAGTGAATTTGACCGAATGGTCGAATGGTAACGTGCTGACCGCGGAACCTGAAGGTCCTGGATTCGATCTCTTGTGGGACGGGGCCATGAGTGCGCATTGTTGTGGAGTCCATACTAGTGGGAAGAAACAGCTGTCCAGTGTTCCCAGATTTCTAATGTTCCTTGAACTGAGTCAGTCCATGATGAATACCAGCTTGAAAATAATCAATAAATCACCACAAACCCCCAAATTGAAATGACACTTGACTCATAAAAGAACCATCTATACTTGAGTTTATTGTTAGTTTCTAGTTGGAGGTTGTATCTTTTGCTGATATGTGTTCTTTGATGCCAACTTTCTGGTGACTAGAGATTTACTACCAAACTAGAAAGTATAATCAGGTGGAACTTTAAACAAACTCGGAAGAAATGTATTTAGTAGACATGGCCTAACTTTGAATTCTTTCAGCTGTCAATCAAAGTGATTTGATTAGTGGATGAATAACCAGTGCTGTTGAAATGAATTTAAATGTAGATATTAAATCATCCAATTTCCTTTCTGGCTATTTTATTTGGTTAATATATTCACTGGATGTATTACATCACTAGTCCTGGATTCCAAAATTCTGAAACTTCTCTTGAGGAATTCAAATTTTCCACTATAATGGCTTATGTAAGCAGAATTCATCAGTGAAGTTCCACAAGGCATTATGGCTGATGTCACTAATCATCAGTATTTTTGTATATGATCAGAAAAAGTTAAAAGTGTGAATAGAAAATCCAATAAACTTTAGATTGACTAAGAAATGTATAGAACTGAAACATTGAGATTACAAAAAAGTCGGTAAATGTAATAGAGGAGGTTTAGTCCATACATTGGACGAAAGGAGACATTGTAGCATTTTATTTCACTGTATTGTGTTGATGTATGTAACAACTCATTGAACACTTTTTGTTTAGTTGTACTGAAAAGGACTTTTCGCTCGCTCATTGACTAATACAACATCCTGATATATACTTCGCGTTAACTCCTGATATTTACGCTGTCTGACGCAGGTGGATCAGCAGTGTCGGGAATTATAAATAGGCGATAGTGTATCTGGACACGTATATAAAATTTGGAGTTAGATTTCAGAGCTCGACAAACTGGTGAGCCCGACGTGATTAAACTCTCGCAATTGAATACTGCAACCGGCCATTAATGACTGTATACAATACGGATATACATATATACTGAGAATTTCTTTGGCTGCTTCGTGGTAGGCATTGACATACTTGTTTATCGCATTTTTCCTGCTCTTGTTCTTAAATATTTTTTTTGCTGTACCAGTACTGATGTCCTTAAACTCTCATAATCAAGACTTTTCGAATTTAGGGTCTGTGGGTGCCATTAATCTTCCTATGCCTTGTTTTAAGTTTAATGACCCGCAATTGTGGTTTGTCCGTCTAGAACATTTCTTCATGGCCAATCATATAACTTCACAAAACATAAAGTTCGGATACACAAGCTCTGTTTTGCCGGAAGAATTGGCTGAACAAGTAAGAGAGACGCTATTAAAGCCCCACGCAGACACACCTTATGATGTTTTGAAGCAGGAGGTGCTGAAAGCTACTTCGTTATCTGACCAGAAGGCTGTCGATCAACTACTAAGTAGCATATGCCTCAGTGACAGAACACCTTCACAACTTAAGCGACATATGCAAAGTCTGCTGAAAGATAGGAAAGTAGACAACCGTTTATTCTACCAGCTCTGGCTGCGGAGACTTCCTTCATGCATTCAGCAGATATTAGCTGTCGGAGATGCGGACATTGACATTGACAGGTTGGCTGACATCGCTGACCGTATGTACGAAAGGATGCCTAAACCGGTTGAAAATATTGCTGAGCCAACGCAAAACGATCGAGTGGCCGCTTTAGAGAGGAAGATAGACATGCTTACAGGACAACTGACGGCTTCGCAGTTAAACCGGTCACCGAAGTTCTGTATAAGCAGATCCCGTAGTCGTGATAGGACCACGAGTATAATTGCGTCTAAAAGTAGCACGTACTGGTATCACAAGAAGCTTGGCAGTAAAGCACGTCGTTGTTTGTTACCATGCGACTTTAAAACCTTTTCATCGGGAAACGGAAAGAAAGGCCGGCGATCAGTGACGACTGCTGTCGCAGGCATACAACAACACAGTCGTTTGTTTTGAGTGACGGATAGGAAGACTGGAGCTCAGTTTCTGGTTGACACTGGAGCAGAAGTGAGCGTGATCCCACCCACACCTTCCGAAAAACGCCATCCCAACCCAACTTTGGTACTACAAGCGGCAAATAGATCTGCTATTACTACATATGGGACCAGAATTTTGATCCTAGACATTGGCCTTCATACACCATTCCAATGGGAATTCGTCATAGCTGACATATCGTCGCCTATCATTGGCATGGATTTCCTTCAACACTACGAACTATTGGTCGACTGTAGTCGCCATAGACTAGTCAGCCGTAATGGTGAATTTTCTATCACCGGTATCGCTATGGAGACAAAAAGTCTTTTTCAGTACAACTAAACAAAAAATGTTCAATGAGTTGTTACATACATCAACACAATACAGTGAAATAAAATGCTACAACATCATGGAGCAGAAGCCAATAACTGAATGGAATCATTTATTTCATATTAAATAAATCAACTCAAATGGAAAACGGAATGGATCACTCAGAGAACATAAGGAGAATTATAGTTATTACAGTATAACTAAGTTGATTATTCTCTTCTTTTGAACACACAGACTGAGTTTGAAGCATATTACGTCTGGGAATTTTACTAAACATAGTCTAAATATATTTTAGAGTTACGTCATAAATCACTCAAATGGTACACAGATGAATTTATGAGCAATTGCAAACTGTTCCCCAAATAAGATTCTTCAAAACCTACTCCCAGAAACAAGCGACGACTCATCTTTCAACCATTTTTATATGTTCGATATGGTAAGGACACTGATCATAGCATCATTCTGTTGTGTCACATAATTCCATTAATGTAAATTATTTATGCATCACTCAATGGGGTCTAAAAGCATTCCTTATAATATTTGGAGGGAGTAATTTTCATGTCTTCAAAGAAGGGGTGACAGATAGTGAGATAATTTACAACATATTGATGCCCATGTACCTTTTCTAAATGTCACATTATTATGTCACCCTTTTTGTCTACTTGATGACATAGGTAACCTGCTGAATTAAGGGAATGCCTAAAAGAGATAACCAACCGTTTCAAATTGGTACACTTTTAAACAGAATGTTGTAGGATTATGGTTGAAGTGAAACTTCTGATGAAGGTATTAAAATGGAAAAGAAGGATGGGACAATAAAAGTTGTATGTCAAATGTATAAAACCGTATAGGGAATGAACAAACTGTCGCTACTAGTTGTAATTTCTTCATAATCTGTATTTTCTACATTTTACACTGTAACGTTAGCAGTCAAAGTTCTCGTCGGCTAGTTTGGATTCTGCTGGCTTGAATGGTTCAAGTATAAATGTATGTGATGTTCTGTCAAGTATCTCCACTTTTATTTCTTCTTTTAATATTGTGTGGCACTGTTGAAATAGCTACATTCGGAGCGGTAAGAATACTTTGAGATATATTTAGAGTTGTAGATACATTACTGGGATCAGGTGCACTACCGCTACTTATCCTAACTAGGTTGTTGATTCTGACAAGTTCAACATTATTGGCAAACTATAAAGTCATTCTTAAGACTTGTAGGAATTCTTCTTGGGTGAACTTGACAAATGCAGGGGTCAATCACTAATTATTCATACTTGTAATATACCCACGAATACGAGATCAAGAAAGAACACAATAGCTTAGTCGGATTCCAATAGTATATTGAAGAGGTTGTGTCAAAATAGAGATGCATTCCGACTAGTTGGCTAGAGGACCGATTATGAGCGGTGAGACGTAACACGATAACATACCAAATGGCATGGATGCCTGACCACGTGACTTCAGCTTAACGAGTCCGATAAAGCCATGAAGGTTAACATAAATGTTGAATCTCATCGAACTCTTGGCTATTGATTTTGGGGAATTATGTACCTCTGCAGACCTAGGGGGAACTGAAGTTATAATGGAAGGGCTGTAAACATTACCCTCATCCAACAATGTTGGGTTTTATATCGGTATTTCAGTAAGCCTGTGCAACATTTTCAATGTATACTGGATTGCAACTGTCAATTTTTGTTACTGTTTTCCATATCATAAACACATGATTCGGCTAATTTCTCTAGGTCTCATTTCATGCAGCCCGTTACTCTGCCTATTCATCCTTTCAAAGCTAAAAACCGATATCTTTTGCTCGTTTGGTCATAATAATTCTCACAGAAAAATAGTTACATCACAAAACACTAACTTCGGTCAAGTCAGCACCTAATCTCCCGATATTGTTTCAGTCTTAGTGACGGATACCCTCACGAAAGCTGACTGCAGCAAACATTGTAAATGATTAAACCAGATAGCTTTAAAAGCCACTACTTTACCGGATCAACATGCCGTAGGCTATCTTCTGAGCCATCTCTAAGAAAGACTCAGGTAAAAATACGCCTTATACAATGAATCATGCTAACTGGGGGCTCAAGATTTTTCAAACCATCCAGTCCATTGTTGGTCACGATAC